GGAGAAAGAAGAGATGGCACTCATCCTGAGGAGCCAGGCTGATGAGCTCATCCGACTGTCTGGGCTGGCCGGGGCAATGAAGACCGAGATCTCCCAATTGAAGGAGGAGAATGGCCGGCTCCTGGATGAAGTCTCTGAAGCCAAGAGGGAAGTAGCGGAGAAGGAAGAAACCTTCCCCGGGCGCGCAGCTGCCTGGGTGGAAAAGAATAAGGCTGAAGCTGCACGGGTGATGACGGCGACTCCAGAGACGACGATGGAGTCCTTCAGGCTTCTGTACCGGGAGCCTGAAGGAAAGAAGATGATTACCGCGATTGGATCCTTCGGATTCAAGAGCGGTCAAAAGAAGGACAGGATCGCCTCTCACCGGGTACTGCTCAGAAGAGATCCAAACTTCAGCGCTGCATCCTATGGCCTGGCCCCAATCCCAGAGGAAGAGCCCACTCCCCCTTTTCCCTTAGACTAGGATCTCCCCGGTTGTGCCCGGTTGTTTTTGTAAAAACCTCAACTTGAAATTTCCCCGGGGATGCCCGGTGTAGCTGTAAAACATTTAACATTCTTATTTCGTTTGAATGCCATGTTTTCTTTTCATACCGGTTAATCTTCCACGTCTGATTGCTTGTTTGATTTATTTTTTGATCTTGCTCCTTAGAATACCATCATAGAAATTCTGACCGGTACATAAATTAGGCTACTTCTCAATTGTTTTCGACCGGTGGAACTTCAAAGTTTCTCTTTGATTACTTCATCTGAAGGATTAGCTCAAGTAACTTTGACCGGTCAGACCCCCATTTTTGCTTTTCGAACGTCTTCATCATTTTGGCCAACTTAAAAAGTTTGACCGGCCGAACTTTACTTTCGCATTTTGGATAGCTTCATAAATTCTTTAATTTGACCGGTGAATTCCAACTCCATGGTTTGACCGGTCAACTGCCTTGCCTTCCGATGGACGTAGAACTTTCGAAGTTCTGTCGTGCCCATACCCGACCGGGGTATTCTCTTTTTTTTTTTTATCGGTAGGTTGTAGATGGAAACACCTGTAACCTAGAAATTCTTGAAGTATCCTTAACCAGTAAGAATACTGGAGATTTAACCATGTCGAATGGTTTCAAACCCTCTCCAAGGTTCAAATGCACCCTTCTTCCAGGGCCCCCTCTTCCATGTGATTAAGTCTTTTAATGGCCCTTTGATTTCTACCATCCCGGGAAGGCCTTAGCTCACCCCCCCGTTCAAGTCTTCCCTGAGAAGGGGGATATAGGATGCGCCACGGTGGACGATCCCCTTCTATTTCTTTTAATGGGCATCTTTTAGTCCCCAATCAATTTGACAGCGCCGGCTGATTCCCCGACACCAGTCAAACCTCATGGGCCCGTGTAAGTACGGTTCGAACCCTCTTCCAGGTCCAGCCCTCTTGCAGGCATACCCTCTTCCGGGCCCCTCTTCCGGGTTTTGATATTTTTTCTATTATACTGAGCAAGACCGGTGTAGTAACCAGCGTGCCAGGTCTGGGCCTGTGTCTCAGTCGGCTTATCTAAGTGGATTCGATCCACCCTGGAAGCCGTCCTAGGATAGGTTCGACCTATCAATCCTGCCGCTACCAAATAGAGTATTGAACATCATCGGTTTGATTGATAATAAAGTAGGCCTTGCCTAGTATTACAATCATTTGTAGAACTTGCGAAGATGATGGGAATTCCAGGTTCTTTCTACTGGTACCCCTTCAAGAGTTTCTAACCGGTAGGTCCCCGGGCGAATGATAGCTCTCACCCGGTAAGGCCCTTCCCAATTTTTGGCTAGCTTTCCTCCGTCGCCGGGTCTACTTGCTTCTCTTCTTCGTAGGATTTCATCCCCAACTTGGAAGTACCGCGGCCCAACCTTGTTATCATGGTACTTCTTCACCACTTGTTGGTATGTGCTCATTTTGACTTCCGCGGCCATTCTCCGCTCTTCGACCAAGTTGAGTTCGGCCAAGTGATCTTCCTCATTTTGTTGGGGTTGATAATTTGATTCCCGGAACATTGGGAATTCAGCTTCGATGGGCAGCCTTGCTTCACACCCATAGGTTAGGGAGAATGGAGTTTCCCCATGAGCTCTCCTGGGTGTTACTCGAAATGCCCATACGATGTGTGGGAGCTCTTCCAGCCACTTGCTTCCTGCTTCTCCCAACCGTTTCTTCAAACCATCTATAATAGTTCTATTGGCGTTTTCGACTTGGCCATTTCCTTGGGGATACGCCACCGAAGAGCGATTGTGCTTGATCCCGAAGCCCTCCAAGTATTCGGTGAATCTTGGATTTCGGAATTGTGGGCCGTTGTCGGTGATGAGGTTCATGGGTGCTCCAAACCTTGTGGTGATGTTCTTCCAAATGAATTTCTTGCATTGTTGCGTGGTAATGCTGGCCAATGCTTCGGCCTCGATCCACTTGGTGAAGTAATCGATGGCTACGATTACAAACTTCTTCCCTCCTTGGGCGACTAGGAAGGCTCCAATGATATCAACCCCGAATCTAGCGAATGGGATGACATTCATACGGGGTGGTAGTAGGTCGCCGGTCTACCGGGATACTTATAGAATACTTGGCACGTCCTGCATTTCTGGACGTACCTTTCACAATCCTGTACAATTGTTGGCTAGTAATACCCCAACAAGATGATGCGCTGGGAAAGCGTACGGGACATTTGATGCGCCGCGCATACGCCTTCGTGGACCTCCGCTATGACTCGCTCAGCCTCCCGGTTGGTTAGACATCTCAGGAGTGGCCCCCCAAATGCCCTTTTATACAGCTTTCCATCAAGAATCTGAAATCGGAGTGCCCTGAGCTTCACTTTTCTTGCCCGGTCATCTTGTTCTGGCAAGCTCCCATCCACCAAATATTCCATCAGATCATACATCCAATGGTCGTCCGCCCCGACCAAGTTTGACCGGTCAAACTGGCTTCCGGCCGCTATAGCGGCGATTTCCAATTTTTCGATGCTTGCACGGTCAAGGATCTCTACCCGGGCAAGTTTTGAAACGTGCTCTGGAGCATACTGCGTTAATTTGGAGAGAAGGTCTGCATCCGCGTTTTCCGCCTGGGGAATTTGGGCGATCTTGAACTCTTCGAAGCCTTTCAACAGGGCAAGTACAAGGTCCTTGTATTGTGCCATGCGTCCTTCCCTTGCTTCCATGTTACCGGTCACCTGCCCAACTATCGGGCTAGAGTCAGATTTGATACTGACCCGGCTGATTTTCAGGGCTTGGGCAAGTCTGAGCCCTCCAGCCAGAGCTTCATATTCTGCCTCATTGTTCGTTAGTTTGAAGTTGAAGACGATTGCATGGTAGATCTTGAACCCTTCTGGGGTGGTGAACACGATACCACCCCCGTATCCTCTAGGACCGGATGCCCCGTCAACTGCCATCTCCCACCATTGCTCAGTGGGCTTGTTGACCGGTAAGTCTAGAGTTAGACCGGTCATTTCTACTAGGAAATCAGCTAGGGCCTGTCCCTTAATTGCCGACCTTGGCCGGTACTCAATGTGGAATTGAGTTAACATCATCGCCCACTTCACCATCCTCCCGGAGGATGTTGAATTTCGCAACACTGCACCCAGCGGTTGGTCAGTCAAGACTTCTACCGGGTGAGCTTGGAAGTAGGATGTTAACTTTTTTGCGGAGATGAAAAGCGCATAGGCTGTCTTTTCCATCGCCGTATATCTACTCTC